CTTAAAACTTCCATAACTTTTTCAAAAATCAACAAATCAACATAATTTTTTTTTTAACTAAAATCTTAGATATTTTCCTTTCATTTGATATAATTTTTTTGAAAATCTATCACTTAACCTGCTCATTGGGGGGGATTTAAAATAGTAACTTTTTTACAAAAAATAACTTTTTCAACTTAATTTTTGAAAATGTTCCGGAAATACTGCGTCCTTTAAACATATATCAAATTAAAGCTTATTTTATGTACTATAAAATGAAAAAAAAAAATTTGTCCCGACACTTTTTCTTCTACATTTAAACGGCTGCCGTAGTTAAAAAAACACTATTTTTGTGTTAAAATTTTCGATTTTCGATTTTAAATTTTCAACTTAAAAATGCTATAACTTTTTGAAAAATGTATATATCAGCACAAATTTTTTTTTTCTAAATACATTATAAGTACATCTTTCATTTGACATACTTTTTATTAAAATTGGACAATTTCCCCTTATATAGGGGGCGTTCAAAACTTAAAATATTGTAAAAAACATAGATCTTTTTCAACTGAACTTTTGAAAATGTTCCGGAAATACTGCGTCCTTTAAACATATATCAAATCAAAGGTTATGTTATATACTATCAAATGAAAAAAAAAAATTTGTCCCGACATCTTATCTTCTATGTGCAAATGGCTGTCGAAAATTTAAAAAAAAATGTAATGTTTGCGATAAAAATTACATTTTATCGGGATGTTTTTTGTACTTAAAACTGCCATAACTTTTTCAAAAATGAACAAATAAAAATAATATTTTTTTGTATTGAAACCTTAGATATTTCCCTTTCATTTGATATAATTTTTTTTGAAAATCTAACACTTATTCTGCTCACTGGGAGGATTTAAAATAGTAACTTTTTTACAAAAAATAACTTTTTCAACTTAATTTTTGAAAATGTTCCGGAAATACTGCGTCCTTTAAACATATATAAAATTAAAGCTTATTTTATGTACTACAAAATGAAAAAAAAAAATTTGTCCCGACGATCTATCTTCTATACGCAAATGGCTACCATATTGAAAAATATACTATTTTTGTATGATAATTATGGGTTTTGTATTTTATTTTAATAGAAGTTGATGTTGCTTTTGCAATTATCCATCAATTTTTTAAAATTAAACACTATCTACAGATTTGCATCGAAGCGTTTCTTATGATAGTGATTTTAATCACTGTCAGATTAAATCTATACTTGACCCTACTATGCAATGTCTCCACTATGCCGCGACCCCACTGTGCTACCGTTTTTTTTTTTTATATTATTATGAACTAAAGCTACTTATATTTTAAATAATTCTACTTTTTAAAAGACAGTTCAGTGAGAAAAGAAATGCCACAAGTTCCTTACACACTTAGCTCATTTTACATGTTATTGAGTTTGGCACTAAAACAACTTTGAACTAATTAAATTTCTTTGTACATAGCATGTTATTGGTTTCAATTGAAAACTTATTCCAGTGGTTATTATTGGTATATGGTTAATTTAAATGTTTTCAATACAGATTTTTTTGTTTAAAATATTTTGTAGAAATATATACAAAATGTTGACAAGGGGTCAATTTTAAGACCACCTCTGAATGTTTAAAATAATAATGTAGAAATTAATACATAATATAATACCTATGATACCCAACTTCAAAAAAATAATAGATTTTTTTAGCTAAAACCATTTTAACGTAAAGTTATAAGACCTTAAATTTTTTATTTTAGGAACCTTTTTAAAACTGGTTCTTATAAATCTGAATGATTCTAACTCTATTTTATATTCTTAGGAACATAGATATTATAATAAATAAATTCAAATTTTAGTCTATCATAATGTTTTTCCCGTGAATATTAAATTTCAATTAAATTTCTTTTTTAACACTTTAAAACTATATCAACTAAAGAATATAATTCACTAAGGACTTTTTAATGTTCTTTAATTCGTATTCGTTTTTCTATGATTTGCTTTGGAAAGAAACAAATAATCATAGTTTTCATCTTCTCTTATAAGTATTATTTTTGTTATAACAAACAAATCTTTACAACCCTCTTAACATAGGACAAAAAGTATGAACATCTCCCAAATTATTTTTGAAGGTTGTTTAAATTTGTTAAAAATTTTAATTAAGTAGATCCAATCGCATCTGTTCGTAAACGATATTCTTTAAATTCTGTAATTAGAAAATTAAAAATAATTATGGGTTTATAATTATTATCAAATTATAAATTATTACTTAGTAATGTTTCATATTAGTTATCCTCTGTGAATATTCCATTGCACTAGTATTGAAATTCCAAGGCTTTAATTTACATTTCCCAGTTTAGAATAATTAATTAATCTAAACTTAGATCAAGCTATTCATTTATAACTTTACCCATAATTTCTTTAAAGGTCCTGATAATGCTCGTGTATGGACTGTAATCATAAAATAATAAAAACAGAGTATGAAGCTCTACCATGTGTAATATATATCAAGTGTCGTTATAACCTAACTGCATAAGTAACCTACGCTGGTTAACCAGTAATACGTCACAGTTATACACAGTTACGTCGTGTAGCTTAATCTGTGAATATTGTGCAAATAGCCCTTAACATGTCGTGGTATCCGCAGAATAACATGTGGTATCGACACATAACAGTAGAGTACCGCCTTGCACGAGTACCCTAGACGTCAATCGACCACCGCAATGCGCCGACAACGATGACTATAAAACAGAAATAATTAAAATATAGCTACGGCACCATACTCTAATTATTTCTTTCTGATTATGTGAATTATGCCTAATGTAGCTATGCGCAGGTGAACTCATGCAGTTAACTTATTTAGAATTGCTCTAAATGTTACTCTCAATAATATTGTGTTATGTATAAATTTGTCTATTGTAGACAAATTTATTCTATGTAATAAAATAAAAACAAACTTACTTATAGTGAATGATCAAACACAAACTGACTTGCTTTATTTAAGAAAATAATTTTCAACAAAAATAACTAAATAAATATGTAATATAAAAAGGTGGAATATCTGCTGCGTCCTTCTTCTTCTACTTGGTTCTGAAAACTGACCGTCGATGAGACTACAAGCAACCCTCATTACCTTTCAGCCTGGTAGGTAGTACCGATCCCTTCTGTGACGCTAGGCAGTTGGTCAACCGGTCTGAACTACTTGTCTCTCTGTTCGCCGACAGGTCCTTCTGATAATTAACGTATGGTATGATAAACGAGTCATAGTACCAAAACTACATATATATAATACTAATTATATAACTTAATCAAAGGTAGAGAATTTTCAACATCATCAAGTTATACCAGTATAAAGTTAAAAATATAAAAAAGAATTTTTTTCAAAAAACGTATTTTTTTTATTAACTTTGATGTCTGTTTTCACCGTGAAGACAAAATAAAGTCCGAATTTTTTTTTTGCATAATAAAGTATATTACATNATATTTTATTAGCTTTAATCTAAGATATATATAAAAGTGTCAGACTTTCCGGAACACTTTCAAAAGTTACATTGAAATTGTAAAAGTGTGAACTTTTACTTTTACTTTTACTTAGTGTGACAACTTTTTTGTGAAAAAGTTGTCATTTTAAATCCCCCCCTGTGGGCAAGTAAAGGGTCACATATAAAAAAAAATATACCAAATGAAAGGTAATGATATCATGCATCTATATAAAAAAGAATTATATTGATCCATACATCTTTCAAAAAGTTATAGCATTATAAAGTTAAAAATATAAAAAATAATTTTTTTACAAAAATCGTATTTTTTTTATTAACTTTGATGTCTGTTTTCACCATGAACATAAAATTAAGTCTGAAATTTTTTTTTTCCATAATAAAGTATATTACATTAGCTTTAATTTAAGATATATATAAAAGTGTCAGACTTTCCGGAACATTTTCAAAAGTCAAGTTGAAAAATTAATTTTTTGTGAAAAAGTTGTCATTTTAAATCCCCCCCTGTGGGCAAGTAAAGAGTCACATATAAAAAAAAAATATACTAAATGAAAGGTAAGAACATTATGTATCTATAAAAAAAAAAAATTATATTGATATGTTCATTTTTTTAAAGTTAAACTGCCATAAGAAGTTATGGCAATTTTAAGTAAAAAAAATTGAAAAAATTTCGAAAATTAGCGATTTTTAAATTTGTAATTTTTTTGGAGGTTTCCCCCATTTACGGGGAACGAGGGAATTTTTTTCAATTTTTAAGGGTAATGNTATATTGATATGTTCATTTTTTTAAAGTTAAACTGCCATAAGAAGTTATGGCAATTTTAAGTAAAAAAAATTGAAAAAATTTCGAAAATTAGCGATTTTTAAATTTGTAATTTTTTTGGAGGTTTCCCCCATTTAAGGGGAACGAGGGAACTTTTTTCAATTTTTGAGGGTAATATCTTCGACTAGATACGATTTGTGATCTTTTGACGTATCATTGAAAGAAATCGGAAAGATACCTTCTCAACTACGTATCGAAGCTAATAAATAAATAAACACTTTTTGATAAAATCAAAAGTTTCGTATAGATCTGAATCTACTATTATAGCAGTTGAAGTTTCATCGTATAAATCTGAATCCTAAAAATCACACTCAAAATAATAAAAAGTAATTGAATTGAATAAAGGCAGATTATTATTTTTGAAAATAAGTAATTTATTTATTAAATCTACACGTTATTATAGTTGTATTAAGTATTAAAATATATTTAGCTTTATTAATAAAACAATAACATAAATTAAGTTGGTTATTTTAGAGTTATAAAATAAGTTGAATAAATGTATGATAGTTAAATATTGTAGTTTATTTATTTTATTTTCATAAAAAATTTTAGTTTCATTGTCTTCTATTTCCTGATCCAGAACTTGGTCTGGCTTGATTGTCAGATGATTGTGCTCTTGGAGCAACAACTCTGTTTGAAAATCGAATAATTACATCTTGTACAATCATGTTAGGTGTAAGGAATTGACGCAACGAAACTACACCTTCTCTTCCAGGACGATCAAATGGATAACCCATTGATCTAGCATCTGGGTATCGTGCATTCAAGACACCACAATAACTAGATGCATCATCACAAGTTAAGTTTCCTCGGCCAGAGTTCTCCACCTTAGAATTAAAGTTGATATGTTTTTATGAAATTACAAATATTATCACATGAAAATAAAAAAAAATTAAGTTTACTTGGTCATTAGCACCGTTTGAAACCATTACAAAGAGCTCACAAGGCATACCTTCAGGCGTTCCCTTGGCAATCAACATATTTTGTGGCCATCCACATCCACAGAAATTAAAAACTCCTTCTGAAGCAGTATTCGCTGCAGGTCTATTACTATTCAAATTTCTATAAGTTGTTTCGAACGGTATTGTTACAGATGAGTCAATTGAACGCCTTTCGATTTCATTTCTTCCTCTTCTTACTATTTTAAAATACATAAAAAATATTTTAATAGTGTAACAATTTTTATTTTTATTTTTAATCGTACATTCATAGCTGAATTTATCAAGTTCAACAAAAAGTTGTCTCTGATCGTTAAAACGGATAGGTTGACCCCTTTCATCAAATTTGGGAGCAATGAATATACGTACAGTTCCTACTCGTTGATTACCATTATTTTCAACCTAAACATTAACACAACATCTTTTGTTATTAGTCGGGTACATATCAAAGTAATTAAAATGTATTTATATTTTTATTTATAATTGACGCTCTATTCTATTATATCCATCTCAATGAAATCACATTGCACTTTGATACTTTAAAACGAGATTTGGTGTATAGCAAGCAAATATTAATTTTTTTAAAACTTATACAGGTCACATAAAATATATTATTTACATACCACAATTCTGTATGTGAATGAAGCATGCTGTAAATGAGTAAAACGAGCATACACAGAACCTCGAGGTACAAAATCTAAACCTCTGGTTAAATCAATGTCGCTTTGTTGCCAATAAGTTGCAAATTCATTACGAGCTAATGAATTTCCCGATGCCACTTCCACACTAGTTACTCTTACGTTATCAAAACTCAACTAAATTTTAAGATTTTTGATATTTAATTTTAATGTAAATTTAGACATAAACAAATTAAATTAATTACATTTTGAATAGTGTATCGAGGAATGACTGCCTTAAATTCCGTGAAAATGTGGTTAATATATGCATGCCAACGATAAAATACAGGATCTCGCATTGCTGTTGTAGAGTCTCCCATTACGCTATAGTTTTCCTAAAGAATACAAATAATTATATAACATTGGAAGAAAATATTTAAAGTATTTCAAAAATATTTACCAAATATCGGTTGTCAGGATCGTGTGAGTATGCAATAGCCAAGTGACCGTTATTATGGAAAGATCCGTAGATATTTGGATTCCGACTTAAAATACTTGCTTCTATTAAGTTACCGAGAATATCAATGCCTTCCATTTCAGTTAATCTTACTTGTTGGTTATTAGTCTATTTTACAATATAAAATACAATTTATTATTAAACAGAAATCAGTAATTTCTGTATTTCATAATTACATCAGTAATGAACCCAGAGTGAATAGCTTTGAACAATTCATCTCTCCAGAGTTCCAAATCTTCGAGGTTAAATCTGACCTGATCAGTTTCTCTGTTTAAATTCTATGAACAAAAAAAGAAATATTTATTTATATATAGAAAGATATTTATAGTTTAGACGTTATTTGTCTACCGATAATCTTGTATTAGCACTTCTCGATGGCCATACGCGATTTCCAACTACTGTATCCAATTTAGGGAAATAGCCTTCTAATATTGGTTCACGTAAGTTTGTATATGGAACTACTCTATTCATTCGATTGCTCAAACGCTCAAAATTATACCTGGAAATGTAATTTTAAAGTTTTAAAAATTAAATATTACAAAGTAACATATAGTAACGATTAATATTAAATTTAAATGTACATAAAAAATACGCAAATCAGAAATTTTATTTTCTAATATTACTATTTTATGAATTGTACTAATATTACGCTAATATAAATACCGTTTCCCTCTATTTACAAGGATATGGTATAACAAAAAGCGATTGGCTCACCGAAAATTCAGTAGCTTCCCAATGACCTACATAGTTTGTCATACAAAAGAAGAAAAAATTGGGGAATTGGATCAATAAAAATTAGTTTACAAATGCGACTTTATTTGTGAAGACTTATTTTAACTGTCGTAAAAGTAGTTAAATAAAAAATTATCATTATTATATTTTAGAATTTCTTATACCAATGCGTATTTTCAAAATATTGTTAAATTTTGAACGAACTAATATAATATGAATAATTTAAATATGAATTATAATCGACGTAAATTTTATTACTTATTAATAATAAATAAACACCTAGCTATTATCTGTTGATGCATGTAGTAGAAAAGTTCTCCTCTTCTATCTTTTTCTACAATATTTCGTGGTCCATCAAATGGATACACTAAATGCCAATGCCAATGATGAAGATTCACTCCAATGTCTTCACGGAAGTATTGTAGTCTATGCTCAATGTCTAAATCAGATGCTGTATAATCTCGTGGGATTTCAATCGGTATCTATGTCAAAAATTAAAAAGACATTTTGACAATTATCACCTAATTTTTCTTATTGATTGCATATTAAATAACATTTTTTTTTATTATGAATTAAATTAAGGGTAGGGTTGTTGAGTCCATTATATAACATGTACTAATGTAATGCGAACTATCCTCAGGTTCGAGACTAGGTCACTGTAGTCGCTATCCCTCTCTCCGGCGACGGACTAATCAGTTGTTCTAAAGTATTCGTTGTTAAAAAACTCTCTTTTCAGGAAATCACTATAGCCTTTAATAGACCTTGAAAGCATTAAAATTATGAATTGAAAATTAAAAAATTAAAAAACCTAAAATTATATTAGGAGTATAACTAACAACCTAACAATCTTTATTATGATAAGAAAAATTCAAGTCAAAATCTATACAATAAAATATTTATGAGCAGAATAAAATAAAATTTTTATTTTTATACCCTTTATAATTTTTTCTGTTATAATAACAAAATTACGAGACGTTTATATATATTTAAAACAAATTATTGTTACTCTGTTGCCAGTAGGAACGGCTGCTGCTTCTTCTCTGGCACGACTTAATACTGTAGGATCAACATAAAGTCCAGGAAACATTTCAGCATGTGAAGGTAATTGTATACTTCGAGTCTCTGGTTTATGAAGCATAACCACTGATAAAGCATACACAAACATAAATGGGTTCATCTTTTCACGACAATATACTGCCAAGGACATTAACTCGTCAGTTGATTTTGTTTCTGTAAAATTATAAGTATTTTTGATTGTTTTATAAGTTAATTGTTTTAATTTTTAACATTCTAGCGGTAAAACACAAATTTGCTTAAAATTAACGCAGATAATATATGAATTTCTATTATATCTATGATAGAAATGATAATTAGCTTATATTTGATCTGATTGTTTATGTTCAAAATTTTATTAAGTTAAAAGAAGAACGTTAATTATAGTCACGGGATCCAGCATAGTGGATTACAATATAGAATGATATCTAACAGCGGATAACACTATCATAAAACGTTTCGATACAATTGTGCTAAAGAAAGAATTAAGCAAATAAGAATTGGTCAATTTTAGCAGGAACTTTGTAATTTCAACCTTAAAGACTAATAACTTTTAGAAGAAAACATTAGAGCATTTTAATTATGAAGTGCATAAAAATAAACTTTAATTTAAAATAAATTTAAAAGTTGTGATGTCCTCGAACACAAAAAAATTGATATACGTGGGTAGCCTCATTTAAACTTTTTTTATTATCTTTAGGTTTTCTATAAAATTTTCAAAAAATAAAATAATGGTGATTCTTTAGAATTTATTTGACAGGATTTTTACAACAGCTGTTGACCTAATGCAATCTTATTATATCTGAGGGAACCAGTAAAGAGACAAAATGAGTGTTTCTGTTAAAGTTAAAGTCTCGTATGGTCACCCATTGGGCAACTAACAGCAAACAACACATCTGAACATTAACACTAAAACGGCGACTGTATGATCCACTGTATCACACCACATTCATTTTTTTATTGTCTTTAGAATAACTAAGAAAAATCTCACTAAAATTTGAATTTTATAAAAAAAAAAATTATTGTAATTATAATTTGCCTCGACAGATATATCATTATTAATATTTATAATTTTATAATCGTTATTAAATTAATACATCAGTATTAATCTAATCACTGATCGAACAATTTTGTTGTATTTTTTTATACAGAATAATCCGCTAACTATGTCTCACCTAATATATTAAAAAATACAAATGTTATAAATAATTTTTTTTTAATCATTATGGATCTTTGATGAACTGTTTCATAAAAAATATTAAAATTCTACCACCATCCCTTATGCTTAAAACTTGTGCTAACTTCAGATTTTCAAAGGCAACCCTATTTTTTTTTACACCATTTGATTTAGTTTAATAAAAAAAATGTTTTGTAAAACAAATAATTTATTTTATTTAATATTAAGCGTTCCACGGTTTTCTAAAGTTTAGCGTTTATAAAGAAAAAATCATAACTAACACGAACGTTATAGGTCCTTATTCTGACACGTGCGTTGACACAGTAAACCGATACCTCTTATCGCTACATAAAATAATAATGTGACCGTGTAGAAAAACTATTTTTAAAAAAATATCTTAAATTACAAAGTAGCGTATTTCGTTTAAAATTTATATATATAATTTTTTTTTTGTTAAACATTTTTTTTTGTTATGACGAACAAGAATATATAAAAATATTATGGATTTCCATTTGAAAATCTGAGTTGATACAAGTTTTAAGCATAAGGGATGGTGGTAGATTTAATATTTCTGTGGAACAGCTCATCAAAGATCCATAATGATTAAAAAAAAAATTGTGTATTACACTTGTATTTTTTAAGGGTTTTTCTATTTTTGAAGATGATAAGTTCAACCGAATTTTTTTGACTTATAAATCAGTAATTTTAATACGATGAAAACTGAGAATATTTTTTAGACAGACATAAAAAAATACATCATAGTAAAAACAATACCTTCTCAACATCACATCGAAGCTAATATTATTAATTTCTATGCAAAGTCGTAAAGGCTATGAAAGGAATTTGTATATTATAATAACGTTATTATATCAATAAATAAATACAAATATATTTTTTTTTATTTAAAACTGCGCAGAATGAATGAAATTTAAGCATCGAATTTGGATTAAATATCAATATTCAATAGTTTAAGCAATTGTACTATTATGAATATTTACCCATAAAAACAGTAATGAGTCTTGATGACATCGAGCAGTGCATAGGGTTAAATAAAGTAAATGGTGTATTCTTGTCAAGTGACAAGGGAAGTGATAGGTCAGGGATTTTATTGATTTTATTAATCTTAATTTGCTTAGCTCCTGGAAAACGAGTTTGCAAATCGGATGCAGCTGGTTTATATCGCTCATCCTAAATACAGAATAAATAAAAAAATTAAACGGATTTGGGATGTAAAGAAATAAGTAATAGAACACGGAAATATATGCATTTATACATTTTGTGTGAGTCACTTTGAATAATCTCAAGTTGTGCAAATCTAATGTAGGATTATATAATGCGTAAAAATATTTTTCATTTTATGAGGGGGGGGTAAATCCTCTTAATAATCTAAATGTTATAAACTCGATTACAACATATAACTAAGTTTAAAGTCAATTAATAAAATCTATACTGGCTAAAGGTGTGTTGGGAATGACTTATTCCCATTTAAATAATGACTTAAAATTTTTAAATGCACATATTCCGTGACGAACGTCAAAAATTTTGTTTGATAAATGTCTTACCAAGTATTCGTCTGGAACGATAAAAGCGACATCTTCATCATCACCTTTGGGTTTGAAAATAGGTTCAGTTGGGCGATCAAACAAATATGTGAAGTTTTCGGTGGAAGACATGATTAACTTCAGATCTCTAAAAAATATGTGATATGGTAATTAATTACTTTCTATTGTGGTTAAAATTTAAAATACTTTTATTTATAAAAAGATTGTAGGTAATAAAAAAAATTGTTAATTAATATTTTTACTAAATAAAAAAAGATAACATTTAATATTTATTTTGTTCAAATTTTAGACGTTATTTTGGCAATATTGATTTATTAATTATATAACAGATCTTTCATAACTATGTAATGTTAAATATTATAATTATAATTATTAATTCATTGATAAATATTAAAGTATATTTTAGTTTTGTTTTAAAACAAAAAAGAAATTTAATGATTAAAAAAAACAGTTATACAATTTATATTTATTAATTTAATCTATTTAGAATAAATTTAACTGACAACTCTTTTAACTTTTGCTACAATTATCATTTCACTATAATCTTTTTTAAACAATTTTTGCATTCTTAGACTACGTTAATAACTCGCACTAATTTGTATTAAATATACTTTGCTAGCACTACATACTCACCCATGTGTTAAAATACTTGTAACTCAATAAGTAATTATCTTAAAATTGTTGTTTACCCAATCAAATTTATTATAAGTAAAACTCTAAAAAAGGCTATTTTAAAATAAAATAAAAATAATTTTTACTTACTTTATTATTTATTACAAATAATAAAAAATATACTTTTAACGTAGTCTGAGAATACAAAAATTATTTTTAAAAAAATTATACCGAAATGACAATTGTATAAAAAGTTTTAAGAGTTATCTGCCAGATCTGTTCCACTCAGTATGAATTTAAAATAATTATACAGAAGAGGAAATGAGATATAATCCCAGACAGGATTTTTTTTTTATATATTATTAAAATAATTTTATTACGTTATTATAATGTAATACAATTGTTTTTACAACATTATTTTTTAAAATAACTGTCTGGGATTTAAGACTTTCCAATTATTTTGTTTATTGAGAAATAATTTAAATCATTTTTATTGTACCGTATAATACTAACAACTTTAGTTATGAAAAAAGAAAAATAATTTAGTTTATATTTTATAAAAAATTAACTAAAAAACAATGTGTTTAAGAAACAAAAAGTCAACTAACATTTTATTTTTTGACAGTTGGACAAAAATTTTATATAAGTAATATAGAATATATTTTTTGATTAAATTTATAAACAAAAGTTTCTTACCAGCAATTTTTTTAAAAAATATTTTGATACTTTTCAAATAACAAAAATTACAGAATTATTTAAACATCAAAGAATTAGACAATAAAACTGTAATAATAACTCATTAATTCAATGATCAAAAGTGTGACATCAAACACTTAATGGCATGTCATTTCAAATTCTACAAATTTATATCTAAAAATATTGACCACAATATTAAAATTTTAATTGATTAAACTGTGTGAATACTAAAATAATTGTGTCACATAATGTAGTAGCGGTTAATTGTTTAGATTAGATTAATATGTAGCATCTAAAACCAAAAAGTAAAACAGGAAACCGCAAAAGTACCAGAAATAAATTTGATCAGTTAACTGATTTTTCTTTATCCAATGCTATAATAAATGTTTAATTGTAATGCATATTATTAGTTATTTTTTAAACATTTTAGTTAAATAAAATCATAGTTTTTTTACTTTGAATTAAATCTTTCTTTTATAAAAATATTTAATAATTTAGTTAATAATATATAATAATAGAATTTATTTTACTAAATTAATTAATTTTGTACTATGTATGTGTACTTTATACATTTTTAATTTTTATTTCAATATACTTGATCAAACTTTATCATTTTGGTACAATGATTATTTTGTTAATTATTATATTTGAATAAGATTTTTTTGTAATTTCCAATAATTACAAATTACAAATAGAAATATTTATAATTGTTAATTCCTTAACTATCGACTAACGGTTGATTGTCAAGGCGCAGCTAGAATACAAATGTTAAGGGGTTTTTTGTATTTTGCTCCCATCGCAAAATATATTTTCATAATATAAATAAACATAATTTTCTACAAACATTTTTTTTGGTGGAGGCTAAGCTCCTTTAAGTTACTTCCATGTCAATCAATAGCGGTATTTAATCGTGATTTGATACGTACTTTATTTTTTTTATTAATAAGGAAATTACTATCTATACATCTGTTGTACAATAAATTTATTTACAATGACACTTTATTTTTACAAAAAAAAAAAAAATTATATATATATATTATTCGATTGTCGAATCATTTGACTTATGTAATATTTTGACTAACATATATACTATTCAATCTTATTAATTAAATTGTCAATTGCATAATTAACTTAAAAAGTATTTACTTTTGTTATTATAAATTTGGTTTTTGTTATATATAATTAGAGAGCAAATTTATATGCTTTTATAAATTTTGTTAAATTATTCCATTCATAATTTCAGCCAGTACATATTTATATTAATAGGGTTGAAAACTTAGTAATTTGATTTAACTGGGATTATAGTGTTGGGGTTTATTCTTATACGTAAAATATTTCTACAACAAATTTTTACAAACTTGGGTCCTTCTAAAATGGCTCTAACAAATTTATAAATGTGATAATTTCGCTCTCTACATTAACTCCATTGGAATAACGCAAAAAAGTATTGAACCAACAATTATTTTTAAAGAATAAAATTTTATTTAAAAAATGTTTTTTTTTTTTTAATTTTTATAATTTGTTGTGATTATACAAATTTGTAATTGCAAGTATACTTGTTATGATATTTCAAATATATTTTACAGCATTTTATGTATTTTCAGAAATCCGTTCTACTAGGTAACGAAAATATATTTTCGCTGAAGATCGGAACCACTGGAGTAATCTCGTGGGAAAATCTGGATTATATCCATCCATGACAAATATAATTTCATTGTGAAGATTCAATTTTTTTTCGTTTGGAAGGAGTAGTTAACATTTTTCTTAAATATAAACCCTACATAGAACGAAACCCTAGTTTGGCCACTAATATGGCCGGTTTAATTATACGAAAATTAACAAAATAAAATGAAGGGTATTATCACAGTTGGAGTTAAAAAAAAAACTCTTAACCAATATTTCGGAAAATTTTAACATTTAATAATTAAGGCAAAGTTAAGGCATTCATCTGATATTCTTTAGGTATTTTAGATTATTACTAGATATTCAAATGCTCTTCTCCTCTCGCCTAGATATAATACTATTAATGTTATCTTTATGATACGTCTCTGAGTTAGGGACGAAACTAAAATGTTGAAACAAGAAAAGTAATTTACTCCTAGGATTAACTTAGACGGTTAAACAGATTTTTTTTAAATATTATAGTCTGTTAAATTGAACTTTCAATTTATTCAGTTGATAAAAATTTGTTGACCTCCTAAAATTACTTTGGTATACCCCGGCAAAAAACTCTTACCTTTAAACTTCATTAAAATTTTTAATTAATCCAATAATTTTTTATTATTATTTGTGTAATACAGCATGTATTATAACTACTAATGATGCATAATACATACGAAGCGTACAGAAATTGAAGAGTCCAACCTTTTTTTAGTGTTAGGCCATTTTTATTTTTGTTAAGATAATCAGCTCAACCTAAAGGATAAATAATATATGTTCTGATATTGCACGTTAATATCTATGCATTTTTCTTGGTTTTAATTCATACTTGGAAGGCTCCCAAGAAATGGTATTATGATCCCATGGAATTATAAAAAAATTTGTGTTAAGTGATGCTATCAGAATTTTTTTTCAAGGGTAGGGGTTATAATTTTAAATCATTTTGGTAGTCTTTTTGTACATATGTCTTAATTTATCACATTAACAAGTCACGAATTAAAAAACACAATTGATAAAATGTATCATTTTATTTTATCTGTTTAGAAGTCTCAATTTATAATTTTATAATTGAATTATAAAATTTTTTTTTAAAAATAGCTTTTCAAATATAAGCTTCATTAATCATGTTATAAATTGAGGTATTTTTTATTTTTTAAAAGTAAAGTTAAGACAGAGTATGTAAATAATTCTTTTTATTTTAAAATTGTTTTTTAAGGAAATGTATTTTATAAAATAATAATATTAATTAAAATATTCTGCAATTAAATAAAAATTTTGCGACTTCGTAAAAATTTAAATTCGAGTGACTATCTAAAATATCTATCCATATATACTTCGGTTATTTTGAACTTCAAAGTATTTTAAAATTGATATCTATAAGAATGCAATAAAATAGTCTTCTAAGATTTTGTATTATTTTTTAAAATTTAAAATGACGTATAGTACTTAAAAACTTTTTCTAATTATTTATTTATCAAGATAATTTTGTTCATCAGAGATAAACTATCCCAAGTCAAATTTATTTTTAATGTGATTTGGAATAGTTAACCTGTTGTAAAGAATTAAGAAGAATGACTTAGCTGCTAGCTGGAAATACCCACTGGCACTCACATACATATCTGTGATATATTATAAGAAAGAATTATATTCTAAATTTCATTGTTTTTCAACATTACTTAATTATAATTATATCTTAGTTTTATGTATAGTAATTTAAAACATTGTAAATATTACACTTAACTGTCGATAAAATATATTTGAATTGAATTATTTTTAACTCTATTTATCAAAAGAATTTTTTATGTAACTTAGTTTTGAAAACTCTAATTTTTCAATATTGTACACATTAATCACAACTAATAAGTTTAATTAGTTAGATAATGTTTTTAAAAAATTTTATCAATAAATATATTGTAATATGCAACAGTACATTTTAATAGTAATATATATATATATATATAATGTAATAACACTTTTTATTAATAAAAATAAACTTAATTTATAAGTCTATTAAGTTTTAGTTAATATTTAAAAAGAATACGTATATCTTAGAACAATATTTTTTTACAGGAATTGTAACGACTGAAGTTATAATTTTTTACATATTGAATGTGCAATGATAAATCTTATATGCATATTTGATTAATGGGGAGTAAGGATCCTTCTAAGACACTATAAAAAACTTTTACGTTTAACTACTATATTAAAAGAGTTGTTTTAAATTAGTTTTATATAAAAATGGGAATAAGGAACTTTTTGCCTGAACCTTACTATTTCCCCTGATATAATCCTAAAATATATTAAAAACTTGGGTCCACTTTAAAAATAAAATTTTTTCTTTTTTTTTGTTCATACAAATACTGTACAAAGAAACTTTAAAATGACAACAGTTTGACTATGGCAGTTAACAAGGTATCTAACACAAAATAATCTAATTATATAGAACAACATTAGACAAATGTATAAATCGATATGAAAATGTTCATTTCAGTTTACTTGTAATTATTCTCATTTTTGTATTATTGATCCAGCAGTTTATTAATATATATATTTTTATGAAGATTGTCCAATCCTATATTCCAGTTAAATATAATCTAATTATTGGTATTTTATTTGTAGAAATTTAGGCTGATGGTCATTTTAGTTCTGATTGTAAATAAAATATGAAAGGTAAAATCCAATTTCAGTCCATTAATAAAGCATGCATCCAGTAAATCCAGAAAATATATTTCCCCGAGGTATAATACATTACTAGACTTCCAGAAGGTAACCATTAAAATAATTAAAACAAAAATTTTGACTAAATCCAATTTTTGATCCTTACATTTTATGATTCAGACTATCCACAAAAATATTACTTCCCTAAAATATATCTCCTATGTATTACATATCCAAAAGTTAATGTATTGTTTTACTTCATTAAGTAGATAGTAAATCCATTACGCATTTTTAACAAAAGGTAACACATATATTAGAAGTCTTGAGGTTTCCATAGAATTTTAGAAGGTGATCCAAAGGGTATTTCCACTTTAAACATTTTATTTATCAACAATTGATGTACAATCCATTTTCCGTAGTAAGTTCCTAATATGACATCTTTTAAATGTAGTTCAAGTATTAAAAACTCCAAATGTATAGAAAATTAGTGCTTACATAATTTATTATACAAGTGCATTATTGTTCAACTTTCACAATATATATATTTATATATATTGCTAAATATCATGAAGTGAATATAATAAGACGTAACTTACACTAATATTTATCTTCTTCAAATCCAATTTGACTTGCAAAATTTATTTTACAAACATTTATATATTTAAACACACTTATATTACATACAGATTTAATTTTTAATGAATGAAGATTTTCCTGTTCAGTTGATAAAAGGTGGCAAATAAAATTCAACTAGATATCCTTCATTAAGTAATGCTAAGAGTCCTTTATTTGTGTCAAATGTCCAAGTCCAGTTTATAATCAGCTACAATGTTAAAATAATAAAAATTGACAAAAACACGTTTAATTTAGCTTAACCCTCGTATTTAAATTTGTGAAATATTTTCCAAATAAAAATAATAATAATATATAATAATAATAGTAATAATAATAATAATAAAACACTAGAGTAATGGAATGAGGGTCAATATAGAATTATTTCATGCTTTACCATTAGGTCCTCAATATTATGATCGAGATCGAGATCTTGAATAACTTCGACTTTTTCTTACAGGCGAGTATGTTGGTGTGGCACGATCACGAGGTGAATAGCTATTGGAGCGGCTGCGACTACGACTATAATAATCACGACTACGATGGCTACTTCCACCACCATAATCATCTTTAACACGAATATATGACACTTCACCCTAAAAATTTTAATAATTGAATAGAATTAAATAGATAATAAAATAATTCTGATATAATTTCAAAAGAAAAATAAATTTGTAATTAACATTTTATAATTAAGTAAAATACATTTATAATATAGGTTGTTTCAATATTATTACATTTTTTATTTCCCTGATTTATTAAAATGAATTACTTAAAACTTAAAAATAGAAATATTAATATATAACTACAAATATTTCTAATAAATTTATAAAATTAAGTTTCATTATTTTGAGAGGAGGGAAAGTTAGTGTTTTGAATTTAAAACACAGTTCATCTTCATAGTAATATTGCATCTGTGACTACATTGACACATAAAAGTAAGCATTACTTTGAAGATGGGCTCTGCAATGAATACATTAATAAATAAATGAAAACACTGATACAAAAATATAATTATATTATGAGTAAGAAGATAATAATAATACAATAAAATTTAAATGCAAACCTCATGTGACCTAAATCTTGAATCATCTAATTTACGAACTGCATATTTCATGTCATCATAACGTAAAAATTCTACTACACCAGATCCATCTTTGTAAACATCTGCATAACAAACATCACCAGCTTCACGCATGTGGTCTTTTAAGTCTTGCCAACTACCTGATGCTGGCAATCCTAAGTGGAAAAAATTTGTTCACTATTTTATTAATGTTTATTTTTTAGGTAATATATTTGGTTTATTTGAAAATTTATCATACCAGTAACAAGTACTCTGTATTGAGAGCGTCTTGCTGGTGGACCTCTTGTTCTACCACCTCCTCCACTAGCACCTCCTCTACTGTAACCTCCTCCTCCACCACTACCACTACCACCACCACCACCACCACCTCTGTGTGGACCATTACCTCGAGGGAACTCAACTCTCAGCCGATAACCATCATAATCATATCCATCCCTAGCATGAACAGCATCTTCTGCATCTCTGAAATTAAATTAAATATGATCTTAGCAATTTAAGTAACATAGTATTAATTAAAAATTACTTTTTTATAGCATTACTGCTATTCTAGGTAAAAAATTATTTTTTGATTTAAATTTTTTAACTAATTAAAGTATCAATATGTTTATTTCAGTAATTAAGAAGTATTAACTATTCCAAAATAAAAATATGATTTTTAAAAGATGTAATTTTATAAAATTCTAGGGTAGCTGTAAGGGTTGGTATTTAAATGATATTCTTTAGTTCAAATGTAGAAAAATAAATTAAAAATAATGTAAAAAAATACCAACATATTTTATAAATTTTTCATAAGCAAAATTTAACTTATTTTACTACATTTATAAATAAATATATATATAATCTACTATAAATTTTTCATTATAAATTACAATTTTTCTTCAAATATAAGTCTATACAGTACTATTTTTATTCTTATCCAGTTTTAAAGATATAATAAAAATTGATCACTTGTGGCTAATTAATTAAGTAAAATTAAAACTATATTAAAAATATTATTAATTTAAAAAACTAAAAAATATTAAACTCAAAGCCACAAAAAAATTAATGAAAAGTCGCGGATACGTATTTCGGAAACAATGTTACCATTATCAACGCTAAACACATACTGAGATAATTCTTTCAGTTTTAAAGAATTATCAAATAGATTTTAAAAATAAAAATATTTGAAATTGTTACAGCAATAGAAAAAATTTATTGTTTTTATTCTTATCTACTTTATTTTATATATTTTAACTAGTGGCGTGTCATTAGGGTTTACTTGCTAGCTGCCCATTGACACAACAAAAGGTACCTTGAGATTTCTAAGGGCATCTTAGTTGATGAAATGTTATTTATAATTTATGTTTTTTATTTATGCTTATTTTAAGTTTTTTAATAAACGTGATATTAAAGAGTTGTTAGCAGTGAAAAAGCTAGGGTAAGATGAAAAAATTCTTTTTATTGTTTAACAAAAAATTTCAGGATGAATTTCATCAAACATAAACTGTTTTGGAACGTTTAAACCTTTAATATGTAATTGATTTTATTTGGATGTACACTTTCAAAATAAGTTATATATATGATTGTTCTAAAAATGGGCACATAAGGAAAATTAATAAAAAATTAATTATCAATTAATCAATAAGTAACAAAATTTACGGTAACAGTAAAAATTGAACATAATAATAATGGTTTAGTTATAAAATACAATTTTAATTTTATCATAAAAAGATATAGTTAAAAATAATTATATTCTTACCGAGGATCATCAAATTCAACAAACGCAAAAGGTGGGCCTCTTTGATTTTTTAAGTCGACAAACAAAACTTTGCCAAATTTATAGAATAAATCCTGGATATCTTTTGTCCGTATATCCGGTGGCAGATTTCCTACGTAAATTCTACAATCATTGCCCGACATGATAATTATAGATTATGCTAAATAAAAACGTATTTTTACTAGAACTAAACAAAAACTTTTTACGTCAGAAAATTTAAATAGGTAGGTTAGAAAAATGTGTTAGATGTTACAAGTTAGAAGACAACATACAGTAATCGCCAAAATGCGATTTTAAAGGAAATGGAAACACCAAGAAATCAAAACGAGATAAAACAGCAACTATGATTGGAATAAGCCAAACATTAATATTTAAAAACTATCGTGTCAATTTCATGTTCTCTATAATATCGATAGTTGAGCAAATTTAAACTATTTGATGCATTGCGTTAATTTCTATGGACGCTTCGTTGAAATCAAATATAACTATATATCATAAACGGTTATTGTTAAATCTCCTTTTTACCAATTTATAAAAATTAAATTTTTTTCGATTCATGATGCTTGATAAGTTTTCAAGAATATCGATAGTTGTAAAATGATATCTAATTAATTAATATTGCATGAAACATAAGTTTTGTAAATAACAAAATTTCTCAAAAATTGTACATTATATTATAATATGTAAATTTTATTTGTTGAAAAAAAAATAAATAGCGATTCATTGAAGAATTAATTTCAGATTGTTCAAAGTTTGAATTACTTATAATTAGACTTGCCAAATATTATACTGAAGAACGTTTTTGGTATCATGGAATAAAAAATCGTATATCGATTTGTTGGGTTGATGGGTCGACGATAGTAAAGTGGCTGATAGAAACCGCCGTTTCCTAGCCAATGAGAAAGTGAATTTTCGCTCTAACAGAGTTGTTAACAACACTCTTCGTCATTTATTTTATCGGCAAATATTCGGAAGTTATTTGTATTTAGTTGATTTAAAATAGAAAATCGTTCTTCACTTTAGTTCGACTCTAAGAAGTATTATCTAAAGTCACTATTAGATTGTTCCTTAAATTTCTTGCTAGAAAGGTAAATTTTTTCAATATTTTATGTAGTTATCTTATTTAATAGGGGGATATTAATTTATTAAAAATATTTCAAAATTAATTTTTTTTTTTTTTTGAGAAAATTTTATTAGAGTTAAGTATTATTATTATAATTTTTCAGTCAATTAAAATATTTGAAAAATGTCTGATCGCAAAGCAGTTATAAAAAATGCTGACATGTCTGAAGAGATGCAGCAAGATGCAGTTGATTGCGCTACCCAAGCCCTGGAAAAATACAATATTGAAAAGGTATAATTAAATGCTTATTTATTTCTATTGATAAAAAAATACATTTAAACTATATAATTTACTTCTCTTTATTATAACATTATATTTTTAAATTATACATTTCTAACTTAAAAATAAGAAAATGAATCTACTGTAACAAATAATATTTTTGATATTATTATTTTACTCTATAATAATTTTATTTAATTTTTAGTAATCTAAATTTATTGTTATTCTATTTCATTCTACTTAAAAATATATTATATATAGATAGTTTATATTATCAAAACCTTTTGAATAAATTGTTATTCAAACTATTATTTACGGGAGGTATTTGTCACGACCACACTCTAAAATGAATTGTTGATATTTACTCCTTCACTGTAAAATCAAAAACCGACGTCATGACGTATTTGTCATTTGGATGTATTAGTTAAAGAATTTCTCACTCACCAAGTCAGTGTTGTCAGCTCTGTAGTCAACTTAGATCATAGAGATGAATTTGAATAAGTCGATTCATTCTTCACCGATAAAATGGAAATTATTATTATGAGATCAAATTATTTTTATATCATTCAATATTGTATATTAATATAATAATTTAGTATTATTATATTATAATTCTATTTTATATTGAAATGATTAAAAACAATGTTTTTCAGGACATAGCTGCATACATAAAGAAAGAATTTGATAAGAAGTATAACCCAACATGGCATTGTATTGTTGGTCGTAATTTTGGAAGTTATGTTACTCATGAAACGAGGCATTTCATTTATTTTTATTTAGGCCAAGTGGCTATATTGCTATTCAAGAGCGGTTAAATTCTTAATTAAGTACTGCACATGTCCCCTTCCAATATGCAGAATTTAATTTATAAAACTACCTAAAATAATTATCTAATATATAATACCACTTACTCATATAATAAAAAATATTTTTATGAGCTTAGTTGCATCGTTTTTTATTTATATTTATTTACATTAAAATTATTCATTAACATTCTAACATTCCTCAAATATTTATTTTAATGTTATTTTTAATTTTTGATGAAATAATTTATTGGAAGGGTTTGACAAATTTTCTCAATACTAATTATTTTTGTTTGTTTATGTCTTTTTCTTTCTTTAAAAGATGTGCGAGTAGATTATAAATATTTTCATGTGGTCCATTAAGCATGGATTATATACTGAATTTTCCTCGCCAATTTTAACTACCTTTTATCTGGCTNGATTATATACTGAATTTTTCTCGCCAATTTTAACTACCTTTTATCTGGCTACTCTCATTCTTGCATTACTATTTTATTGAAATTATGTTATTTATCTACACATTAAATACAAATTTTATTAGTAATTTCATGTCTTCAATTATAATATAATTGTAATTATTTCTAGTCCATAAAAAAACAAATGTTTTTATAAAACATGGGACTGTTTTGTGTGTAATTTGAATAGTTATTATTTAGGCTGTTGGGTTGTATAAACAATTTTTTTAATTATTTTACTTGTGTATCCTTTTATTTATGATATTTTACATCCCACAAAACATGTGCAATCCAGCATTACAATGATAATAGTTATTATTTCAATGCAACGAGAACATGCCAACATACTTAAGATAACAGTTAAAAATGGATTAAGTTGTTATTGTTTAATTATGTATAATTTTTTTTTTATTATTATTATTGATATGTTTATGGTACTTTTAGATCTTTGAAAGTTATTTTTAATTATCGGTATTTTTTTTTAAACATAGTTTTTTACATTGTATTTTGTGTTCTCTGACTGGCGTAAACAAGAATGTTTCAAGTAGCGTCTTAACTTTTAACAATTAAATAAAAATTTACTAAAATTAAATTAACAGTTCTATATTCACATTTTAATTATAGCATCATAATTGATTATTTACACATTGTTTTTTTATTTTATTATTATTACATTCATATTTTAAATCCTGAATGAATTGATACTACACCAAATGTTAAATTTGTATATGTAACACATCGAAAACCAGCTGATTCAATCATATATTTGAAATCATCCTGAAAATTATATAGATAATTTATAAGAAAAACATATTGTTAAATAAATATAATTCTTAAACTACACTTACAACTTCAATTTTGTTTATACTGTATGAAAGTTGTTGAAAATAAAAAGTATTGAGTCAAAATAATCATTTAATTAAATAAACCATTATGTAGTAATAAGAAAAACCTTTAATATTTAGGAATTTAAAAACAATTTTGAATCGGCAGTATTTTACTTACAATATTAGATTAATTTCTTTAAATTGTATTTAATCACGTAACATGTGTAGTGTTCTTTTAAATTACAATAAATTTTATAATAATCAATGTACTATCAAAAATTACTAAATAAAAACAACTAGAGTTTAATCAATGTAATTTCTGTCATTCTTTATAAAATTAAACTTAAAAAAATCTTATTTAATTTCAAGGTTTGCCTTTTATAATTCAAGAGGAAAATTTTATTGAGACAGCAATAAAATTTTAATATTTAAATAGTAGTTTTAAATTATGATTCTCTGTGGATACTGATAATTAAAACTAAGCAGGTAAATATTAATGAAGTCTATTAGTTTAACTTACTTGAGGTGGAAACTTTCTTATGCTTTCTACTAAATATTGATAAGGTTCCCATTGACCAACAATTAAATGACCCATAACGGGAATAACATTAAATGAATATTGATCATAGAGCCTAAAGTTCAGAGAAATAATAATTATTATTTTAAGATATATAAATAATTATTAACTGTACCATCTTAAAGGTTCTGGGTTCACTTGACTAAATTCCATACAAAGAAATCTGCCTCCTGGTTCAAGTACTCGATAAGCTTCATCTAATACTTTATCAATATGCGTTACATTTCTTATTCCAAAGGCAATTGTGTATGCAGAAAATGAATCTGACTCAAATGGTAACAATTCTGCATCACACTCTTGCCAAGAAATAAGTTCATTATTTAATCTTAAATTTAATGCTCTCCTATTTCCTTCTTTTAGCATAAATTTATTAATATCAGCTACTGTTACATACCCATCTCCTTCCATATCAGATATATAATTTAAATATCTAAAAGCAATATCTCCTGTAAACACAAATTATCGTACATAACACTAAAGAAAAATATTTTAACAATTTTAAAATAAAAGTGAGTAATATTTTATAAACCTATAAAATGAGTATTTTTAATAAAAATTGTTACATTTTTTTTTAGACTTATAATGAAATTTAGTTTAACTGTCTTCGTCTTTTTCCTCGCCTTAATTCCAACTACTTGGGGTCGGCCACCCTTATCCTAAACTTCCACTTGACACGATCTCCCACATCCTCTACGCTCACATCAGCTGTCCTCATATCACATTCAATAGCATCCCTCCATCTCTTTTTTGGTCTTCCTCTACCTCTTCTTTCTTCAACATTCATTTTTATAACTGTTCTTACAGCTTCCGATTCTTTTATCCTCAAAACATAACCTAACTATCTAAGCCTATTTTCTCTCATCTTATCCAGGACGATTGACACTACACCTATACTCCCTCTTATATGCTCGTTCCTTATTCTATCTTTTCTAGTCACTTCACTCATCCATCTAAGTATTCTCATCTCTGCTACACTCATTTTGTGCTCTCCTTTCTTGTTAACTGCCCAACACTCTGAACCATACATCATAGCTGGCTTTATTACAGCCTTGTAGAATTTACCTTTCGGCCTCATTGGAATTCTTTTATTGCATAAGATGCCAGACGCTTTTCTCAATTTCAACCATCCGTACTCAATCCTGTGTCTTACATCTTCGTCAATACCACCGCTCTTTTGCACAACTGATCTTAAATACTTAAAACTTTCCACCTCTCCAATCACGTCCTCGCCTATTGTTGCTGGTCTACTTATTTCACCTACCCCGTGTTCTCTTTTATCAAACTCGTACTCTATATACTCTGTCTTACTCCTACTTATTCTCCATAAATAGAAGCAACTAAAATTTTTCAAACGAAATTAATTTTTAATATAATTTAATACTCGTAAATGTAGAAAAATAAATAAATTTTATAACACTTTATTATTTGGTAGAATAAAGAAAATGTTTATATTACAATATATAAATCTATTTTGTTAGTTAATAATCAGCTTTTAATAGAAATTATTATTAAGTTTTTAAATAGTTTTATTTTTCATAAAAAAAATAATAGTATTTGTTCATATACACAAAGTACATAAAAAATTTAAATTGGTCTTTTAATTGCAATAATATTGACAGTTTTGTGAAAAGTTGGTTAACTTTCAGGTTAATTATCATTTTAATTAGACATTTTTAGATACTTTTGAGATGTTATTGTTGTTTCTATAGGTAGCTATGTTATATTTATGATATGAATTTTAAGACCACATACATTTTTTTTTTGTTTTATGGTCTATTCAAAAATTACAATTTTTGACTTCACTGTTTTTTCATAAAAACTGTCTATAATTTCATAATAATAATTTAATCAAAAGGGTAATTAAGTACTGCAGTACTAAATAAAATATTGTAATACTACAAAAAATGTACCTATCACCTTTTTTACTGTTAATAACTTTATAACTAGAACTCTTTTAAATAAATATTTAATTGATTAGTAATGTATTATTAAGAAATGCTAAAGTAGATAAAGTATGTACCAGTTCCTCCAGCAACATCTAATAATCGTGTCTTTGGGGTTGGATCTAATACCCTTATAAGTTCATCTTTCCATAACCTATGTATTCCACAGCTCATAACATCATTCATGGTATCATACGAGTCTGCTACATTTTTAAATACTTGGTACACTAAAAAATTTTTAAACAAACATTTATTTTTTTATAATTTCTAATGTATAAAATAAAAAAAAAACATAAACATTAGATTATATTTAATTATTAATTATAAAAGTTTATACAAACTAAAAATAAATAAAACATTTTCAATTTTCTTATAATACAAGTAAATAGATGTTTCATAAATATTTATACATTAATATCACTCATAATTTGAATAATGCTTTAATACTTCACAGTTAAGGTTAAGTTATTATTATAAGTATAATGAAAAATTTTAATTTCTAAAAATATCTTTTTAAAATGATCAATAATACAGTTTTCTAGATCTTATAAAATGTATAGAATAATTTTTTTTTCTGCATTTTCAGTCGTCATCACTAGACCAGTTGAATACTTCTAAGTTTTTATCATGTTTGTTAGGAGAATTTTCCCATTTAGATTTCTTAATTTTATTTTTTTCAGATGTGCAGTTATGTCTTTTATTTCTGTCAAAAGAATTATTAGTTTTTAAATTTCTTGAACTATTACGACTATCTGACCGATCTCTTCTATTTAAATTACCACCAGTATTATCTTCATTAATACTTTTTAATTTTTCATCTTGTTTTCTGTTGTGTTTTGATTGGTACTTAAATCCTGGGTTTTTGTATAAATGTAAGTAATTACAATTTTTTCCTTTTGGACATAATTTTCTGAAAAATAGTCCACAAATTGCTTCAGACCAAGAAGGGATATTACAAAACTCAGCAGTTATTTGACGACCACCATAATAACGTCCACATAATGATCTATAAGCTTTCAGAGCATATCGTTTACTTCTATATTGCACATACACATTACCTAGAAGGTGTTGTTCATGATTTCTACATACATTAAGCTCAATAATTTTTCCATAACTTTTAAGTTCAGATACTATGTCATCATAAAATTCATAAAACTTTTCATATGCTTCTTTTTCATCACATTCTAACCCAATATCAATATCAAATTCTCGTTCATATCGCATATTTAGTTCAAAATTCTTATAAAAATTTGGAATTAATAAAGTGTCACTTAAACTAGGTCGACAATGATTTCTGGAACAGTTATCTCGAAACCTACAAGCAGCTACTTTAGAAAAAAATGGACAAAGTGGCTGATCAGGTCTGGTGTTTGAATAGGTTTCTAATGAACTAGGTAGAGGACCTAAGCCACTGATATACATCTCAATTTCTTCCATAAATTTTCTATTTATCTCTTCCTGGTATTTTTCTGCTGCAATCCTTTTTTCTTCATTATCTTTAATTTTTTTTTGTTCACGTTCCCATTCTTCTTTAATTAGTAATTCTTTTTTAGCTTTTTCTTGTTTTAAATTCTCTAACTTCTTTTGTAATAGTTCCCATTCTATCATAGCCTGCAATTCTTTCTCTTCCCATTTTTTATATTCTTCAAATTCTATTCGTTTGCTTTCTTTTTCTTGAAATTCTTCAAGCTCATTTTGATTTTTTAGCCACAATTGATAAGACGGGGATTTTGAACGTTCTTCTTCAAATTTTAATTGTATTTTTTTATATTCAATTGCAGCAACCTGTCTTTTTCTTTTTCTTTGTAATTTCTTCCAGCGTTTACGAGTTTCTCTATGTTTACCCATTAGTTTACCTATTTATTTAAAAATAAACATTAGATTATTTCAATACCTTTTTGTGACTTTTCTGATTCTTCAATTGTTTCAAAACCAAAATGAGTTTTAGTTGAACAAAAAGCTGTATATTTAATAAAAGTAGAAAAATTTCTCTTAAGATTTTTCAGTGAAAGATGCATGACTTAAAAACTTGAAGAATAAAAATTTTAAAAATTAAATGAATTATTTTAAATATCTGTTTACACAAAAACAATTACGTCTATGAAGTAGCTACCGAGACAGAGCGCCTAACCACTATAACTATAAATGATAAGGTAACAGTGTTCATTAGGTTGCCTGACTTTAAGAATTCAAGAGATAGAAGTACGAATAATTTTAATTATTATTATACAAAAAAATGAACTGCAAAAATGTATAATATATATAATAATACATTTTGATAATAAATGTTTTTTTTAATTTCGTAATTATTAAAGAGATTATCTCCTAAATTATTTTCTCTGAACTTTGAAAATGTTTAATAAAAATCCTTATAAAAATGACACAGTAATATATAGAAATTACATAATAAATATGTATTCTAAATTAAACATAAATATATAAGTGTGTAAAAAAAAATATTTATAACATGTACAACAATTTTATAAATTATACCACTATATAAAAAATGTATACAATTAAACGCACACCACACACAAAATAACGGTTGTATAATACAACCGCTACTTTAAAGAAAATGATACATTTATAAAAGAAATATCAAAATAAAAATACTCTCAAGTATTTTTATATTCAAATAAACTTATGTTAAATTCAGGTGAAATTAAAAATAATTTTTGTTAAAATTTATGATTTATATAGCCGCATGTTACAAAAAAATTTGGAATGTTATAGACTGGAAGTAGCAAACACAAATAGAGTTAAAAAATTAATAAAATACAAAGTAAAATTATTTACCTTTGCAGTTGAATATTTTACCATAACAAATCTAATTCGACAATAAATACTTTAAAAATATTAAAAATGAATGATTTTAATTGTTTGTATGGATAAAGCTGTTTAAGCTACTATTTATTTGATTAAGGGATTTTTTTCAATTTTTGAGGGTAATATCTCCAACTACATACGAATTGTAATCATTTAACGTATCGTTAAAAAAAGTAGGTTAAGTAAGAGTTGGAAAACTAAATCACAGCTACAAAAAAAAAAACACATAGTAAAATAATATTAATATGAATAAAAAAATTGTTTTTATGAGGGGACACTACAATGATGGGATCTCTGATATTTATTGAAGTTAATGAATCTAAATCAGGTAAAAATCAAATGATTTGAAAATTTTTTCTAACTTTTTTAAATAGACGGATTCGAACCTGGTACCCTAATAGTAAAAGACATAAGCGTTACCGATTTTATAACTGTTCGTCGGTTGATAAAATAGGCAATTTATGCTTATTCAAATATTATAATTACTTTTTTAACTAAAAAAAAAACAAAAAAATTAAAATAAGTTTAACTTTTTATGTCTTATGAACTTTATTAATTAGATTATTTAATAATCATGAAAGTCAGTGTATTCCCCTTGTAAGATATTTTAAAATAAAATAAAATACAAAACACAGAATTTTAACACAAAAATAGCATAAATTTGAATACGGTATCCATTTTCAACAAGAAGAAAATCTATATTTCGATTTTTTTTTTTTCATATTAAAGTATATAATATAAGTTTTAATTTAAGATTAAATAAAAGTATCAATATTTCCGGAACATTTTCAAAAATTAAATTGAAAAAGCTTAATTTGTGTGCAAAAATTGTTTTTTTGAATTTCCTCTGCGGGCAGGTTTAGAATCAGATTTTCAAAAAAATTATATCAAATGAAAGAAAAATATCTAAGATTTCAATATAAAAAAATTATTTTAATTTGTTCATTTTTCAAAAAGTTATGGCAGTTTTAAGTATTAAAATATTTTATGTTAAACAGTGATTTTTACATTAAATTTGACGGCCATTTTCCCATAGAAGAAAAGGTGTCGAGACAATTTTTTTTTTTTTAAACTCATAGTTTTTATTGTAAGCTTTAATTTGACAAATGCTTAAAGAACGCAGTATTTCGGGAACATTTTAAAAGTTAAATTGAAAAAGTTCTCCTTTGTATACATATGTTTTAAGCTTTAAACACCCCTGTATAAATGAAAAATGTCCAATTTAAATAAAAAGTATGATAAATGAAAGACGTATATAGAAAAAAAAATTGTGTTGATACATACATTTTTTGAAATGTTATAGCAATTTAAAATTGAAAATTTAAAATCGAAAAAAGATAATTTTAACACAAAAATAGCATTTTTTTAAACTACGGCAGCCATTTGCACATAGAAGATAAGGTGTCAGGACAAATTTTTTTTTTAAATTTATGGTACGTAACATAAATTTTAATTTGACATATGTTTAAAGGACGCAGTATTTCATTTTCAAACATTTTTAAAACTTAAGTTGAAAAAATATAATTTTGTAAAAAGTTGCTATTTTGAATCTCCTCTTGAAATGAGTCAAATTTTCAAAAATATTATATCAAATAAAAGAGAATAACTTAAGGGTTCAATGTAAAATAAATTATGTTGAGTTGTTCATTTTTTAAAAAGTTATGGAAGTTTTAAGAAAAAAATTGTAATTTTTTTGGATATTTCCCCCATTTACGTGGAATGATGGATTTTTTTCAATTTTTAAGGGTAATGTCTTCAATTAGATACGATTTGTGATCTTTTGACGTATAGTTGAAAGAAATCGGTCAAGTGAGCGCTGAGAAAAAAAAACCCAGCACAGGGGGGTCGCGGCACAGTGGTAACATGGCATAGTTGGGTCAAGTATAATGATACCTGACAGTGATTAAAATCACTATCATAATAAGCGCTTCAATGCAAATCTTTAGATTGTGTTTAATTTTAAAAAATTGGTGGATTATACAATATATATATCGAATGAAAGAGGAACATAAATATTATTTCGCATAAGAAAATTGTATTGATCCATACACTTTTCAATAAGTTAAAGCATTATAAAGTTAAAAATGTAAAATATAAAATTGAGAATTTTCACACAAAAACAGCATTTGGTAACTATTTTCACTGTGAGGACAAAATAAAGTCCGAAATTTTTTTTTTTTCATGATAAAGTATATTACATTAGCTTTAATTTAAGATATATATAAAAGTGTTTGAGTTTCCAGAGCACTTTCATAAGTTAAGTTGAAAAAGTTTTCATTATGATTCCCCCCCCTGTGGGCAGGTAAAGGGTCAGATTTATAAAAAAATACACCAAATTTTAGGTAAAGACTTCATGCATCTATAAATAAAAAATTATGTTGATAAAGGTGTTAACTGACAATTTGAAGAGAGAAAATTTTAGTCAATATTTATTCAATTATTTGGAACTATTAATTTTTAAAAAAAACTCATATTCAACTATTGTAATATTGTCAATAATTACTTCGTTTTCAAAAAAAGTTACTCAACACTTTCATACATTCATATCTTATTATATATGTATATACATTTTTAAACAGAATTATTTTTTAACACTTAAATATATTAATGTAAATTCAATTTTATTTAATTGTTTTTGGAGGATGTAGAAATTTATAACAAATGAGTTTACATTCATTACACTGGGCATAAGATGTTTTTTTTCAATTAACTTGCGAGGCACATTATATGTGCCTCATAATTAAGCTATATTGAATTTTATTTAAATCAATTAAATACTTTTCAATGTATAATATACATAATTGAACGACTAACCATTAAGAATTAATGATGTTTACTTAAATTTATAATTTTTTTTTTTTTACAAAAAAATAATTAAAAATAGCAATAATGAAAAAACATTTTTAAAAATTTGTCCAGGAGATACTTTTTATGGAAGTGTAAATATTATAAATATATTTGAATTCAGTTGTAGATTAGATATAATCAGTGGTGTAGTCCTAAAAATGTTTATGGGTATACGCCTATATAATGAATAGAGAATAACGTGGGGGGCTCCGCCCCCCACACCCCCCATTGCACTTTACATTTTCTACATACAATATTTCACATTATCAACAGTGATATAGTCGTAATTTGATCAATAGATAAGTTAAAAACCTAAATGAGGAAACGTGGGGAATTTCACCCCCACACTACTTTTCAAAGGCCTTAACTATAACATAGTTTTGGGAGACGGAATACAAATATTGTGATGTTTTAACTGTGTTAAAAATATGTATTTTCTAATTATTACATAATGCAACTAAAACTCTTAACCCTCCCAGATACGGCCTAGCTCCTTCCAAACTATTACTCGAATATTTTTACTGACACTTCTAAGTTCTTACATAAATTAAATTTCATAGTCATATAATCGATATGTGTATTATTAGATACTGTTATATTTTTTATAAATAAACAATAAACTTTATGCAGTAATAAAATAATCTTACAATTATTGTTTTCAAATCGTTAAATCATAAATGAAATAAACGTGAATAGGTACATGTTAGTACTATCTTAATTCATTATAGGTAATATATTAAATACTAGATTGGTTGGTAAACGGTTTATTACGGAAAAATACAAATTACCAATTTCAACAGCTATAGGTTAACCCAATAAATTTCAGTTTCAACTTAGTATGTGCTATATCGTTAATTTCTGATCGATGTTTTAAATTTTATCAATAAAATTGTCGTGAAATGATAAACATTATCCTATTTATTTATTTTTGTTTTACATTTATATTCTATTTTTAAAATGATAATAGTCTCGAGCCATATTTGTATGTTTATAACTTCAGGTATATGTTTATATGTGGTATGACTGTAGAGATTAAACAAACTGATAATAGTTATTCAAAATTTGTGTTTTATGACAAACGTACCTATATTCGATACCCACGTATTACTTTTTATTTTATTCTTTAGTCTATACTCTTTAACTATTTTATAAATACGTATATGCACTAATAAAAAAACTAATAGTGGATATACGCCGTATACCCGCGTATCACTCATGATTTTATAAGTATACGCAATAACAGAAAAACAAAGAAGTGGGTATACGCCGTATACCCGCGTATACGCTCCACAACACCTCTGGATATAATCAAATTATTTTATACTTTATATATTAAAGATAAGGCAAAAAATTTACCAAATATAGTACATTGAAGTTTTTAAAATTTGGCAATTTTTTGAAATCCATCAATATGCATTGATTTTCATGTATACAGGCATAATAAATTATTTGATACAATAATTATAATAAAAGGTGCTGTATAATAAATTAATACCTATATTAAATAAATAATAAATCTTACATCATTGAAAAGGCCACAAAATTTATACTTTAAAAGACATTTTTAAGTTGTTAACATTGAGTTAAAACAAAATACAAACATTGTATAAAGTAATATTGCTCTATGCAATAAAGTTATTTTTATAAATTACATTAAATTAAAAATTATTAATAATAAATCCCTTTTAAAAAACTAATTATGTAACTTAATGTACTTCATAAACCAATGTGGTTATTAAAATCTTATCAATGGTTACAATTCAGATAACTTTGGGAGCCAACTTTCAGACATGATAAAATGCATTATTTTTTAATTCTAGATTAATAGTCGGCAATTTTATGATATTGTCCCAGATGGTTATTTCTGAGAAGGCTTAACAGTCCATAATTAATAATAATTATTAGAAATTTTGTATGAAAGAATTGTATCTATTATTTTACTGATATTAAATGGTTTACATAGATTGATATTAGTAAAAATACCCAATAGAAAGTATCCTATGAATACCTATTAAAAACATATGCTAGACAACTAGTTTCTTGTTTGACCAAGTATGTCGACAGCTTTTGAAAATAATCTCTCACAAGAAACTTATGTTTTTAATTTTAAGCTTTATAACTTGGCAAATATTGAATATATTATTGATAAAATGGCGTTTAATTTGTTTTTTCATTTAAATTATTTAGGTATAATTTAAATTATCCACAATGAAATATCTGCAACAGAAAACACAAAAAATGTTGATATTATCTAAATTTTACGTTTTTATCACAAGTCTTTTAATAAATAGTGTACACAGTGTTTATGATTATCAATGAGGATCATAGTCTTTTTTGATAATCATAAATCATACCATAATCAATACCTAATATGTATTTATGATTTTAGTGCAGTGGCTACATAATTTTTGGAACCCTAAATTTTCAAGGGGTTCGTTTCTTATTTTCAAAAATCTTTATGGTCACCAGTGAAAAAATATAATATTCAAGTATAATATTTTTTAGATCAACATTGAAACTAAAAACTAGAAAAACATTAAATCATAAATTCAATTATTATTGCTTCAAAAAAATTAAAAAAATAATTTTTTATCGCTATATATTGAGAATAATTATGTATTTTTTTATTTTGATAATACCCTATAAGGATTTTAGAAGAGTATTTAGAATTATTCTTTCAATTAAGTAAAATCCAACTATCAATTTTTTTTTTGAGCATAAAATTTTTGTTGTTTTGGATAATATGGATATTGTTTTGTCAAAGAGATTGAGCTAAAGACATTTTTTNTAATTTTTTATCGCTATATATTGAGAATAATTATGTATTTTTTTATTTTGATGATACCCTATAAGGATTTTAGAAGAGTATTTAGAATTATTCTTTCAATTAAGTAAAATCCAACTATCAATTTTTTTTTGAGCATAAAATTTTTGTTGTTTTGGATAATATGGATATTGTTTTGTCAAAGAGATTGAGCTAAAGACATTTTTTAAATTTTCATCTTACAGATATTCCTAAAATACAAATAAATTTAATAATGTAGTTTGATTTTCAAGGTATGGATTTTTACAATGTTTTTTATTTACAATCTGTGTTCATATAAATACAATAATTAAGATTAAACACAAAATTTAATTAGGATGTCTCATAACTTAAGGATTTTAATTGACACTACTTCTAAAATAATTTTTAGTTATGACAATAAAATTATAGATACAATCTTTAACTGGAGTCACCAATAATGGTGTTAGAGCTCTTACAAATAGTATATTAAAAAATACCCTTGTTAAATTAGAAAGGGACACATACAAGTAATTAATACTATTATATCATTTGATGAACATTTTTTGCATAGTTAAGATTCTATAGTTAGTTTGAATAAGATCAACAAATTAAGGAAAAACAATAAAATTTGATTTTTTAAAACAAAGTATTAATAACAAATTATTTACATATACATACTTAAATTAAAACAAGTATTGGTAACTGTGCTAATTACAAAAGTATTTTATTTTTTCTCAAAAATACTCTCTATGTCATCATTATTACTGTAAGTGTGTAAAACTAAGTCAGCAATAAATGCCAAACAGTAGAATCCAAAACAAATGATAAGAACTACAGATGTTAGAGAGTTTTGTTGATTTCTAAATTGATCAAATTCTTTATTTTTTTTAACCCATTGTTCATTCTCATGCTTACGTTGAATAGTTTTTGAATAGTGACTTCTAGCCCACACATCAAAATTATAACTAGTGTATGAAATTTTTGTTTTTTCGACTTGATTTGAAGATTGTGTCTGATCAAATGGTCTTTGTGTATAAGAATGTTCTTTATTAAACTCCTTACTTGTACCAAGATCATACAATTTCCTTTGCCGAGTATTGCTTAATACTTCATAAGCTGCTGTAATATCACGAAATTTTTGAGCAGCATTTTCACAGCCCTTATTTTTGTCAGGATGATAAATCATGGATAACCGATAGTAGGCATCTTTTATTTCCTTGATTGTAGCATTTTTAGATAATTCTAGAGCTTCATAATGACTTTTAAAGGCATAACATATTTTTACAAGATTTGTTCTTTGATTTAATATTTTAAATGTGGACCACATATCAAAAAAAATTTTAATTTACTTCAGTGTTTAATTTACATTTTAACAAATCAAAGTAAATTTATTGAATTGAAATCATTATAAAGCAATAACTATGTATCTAGGATAACGATTTAAAAAATTAAAAATAAATTTATTTTTAAAATAAATTAAATACCTACTTAAGAGAACATTTCATTTAATATCATCATTATGACTATATATTACAGCTTTCACCTTAAATTATTTTACAATCAGCAGTTGATAAGTTATCTATTTACAAAAAAAGATAATTTATTATAATAAAGGAAAAAACTTTTAACAAAATAAATTTACCTACATGTAGCAGTGTATTTTTGTAACTCCACAATTTACTGTATAAAATTTTAAATATTACCAGTATTTACAAAATAATTTTTATTTATTTAAAATTCGTTTTTATTAATTTTATGTTACATTCAGATTTTTTTTTAAATTATCAATGAATTGTTGTCTTATCAGAAATAAGATATTATTGAAAGTAATGAATGTAATCATGGTTTAACAAATATGAAATTATAGGTAGAATATCTATTGAAGTTAAGGAATTGTATATAATTATTTATCATCCACTATTCAACTTTTCTTCAAATTAGAAGACTAGTAATCAACATAATGCCTGTAAGTTTAATTTCAAATTAATAAAATTAATACAATTTTGTTAAATTTGTATTGATTGATATTTAATTATATAATTTGTTCTAGGCTTACCATTCAAGTGTAAAAGATTATCAACATTTAACTGGGAATATGGCTATTGTACCCATAAAATCCCAGTATAAAGGTCCAGCTCCTTTGTTAAGCATTAATAGCCAAGATATAGATATTATTGATGAAGCATTATCATACTTTAAAGCAAATGTATTTTTTAGATCTTACGAAGTTAAGGTAAATTTTTTAAATAATTAATGATAAATATCTCATTTTTACTACCATTTTATATTTTTAGAGTGAAGCAGATCGAGTTTTAATTTACATTACTTTATATATAACAGAATGTTTAAAAAAACTTCAAAAGTGCCAATCTAAAGATCAAGGAATGTCTGAAATGTATTCACTTGCTCTTTATAAATTTGATATTCCTGGTGAAGCTGGATTTCCATTGAATTCTGTTTATGCAAAACCAGCATCATCCAGTGAATCAGGTAATATTTAATAATATTAATTAAAATAAACAATACTAAATTTGATAAATTAAGTAATTTTTTGAGTAAAATTTTAGTCTTACTTAAAATTAATTGTATTATGTATTAGATGTCATGCGTCAATATTTAGAACAACTTCGAAAAGAGACTGGTCGTAGAGTTTGTGAAAAAGTATTTTCAACTGATGATGGCAAGCCCTCAAAGTGGTGGCTTTGTTTTGCTCGTAAAAAGTTTATGGAAAAATCTTTACTTGCTCCAGGTCAATAATTATTTGATTAAAAATTTATTCTGTTATATTTTAATCTTACATTAAACTTAATTATAAGTAAACAATAATTATTATTTACTACTTTAAAATTTTATTTTAACATTAATAAATTTTTATAAATAAAATATATTTATTCTTATCTAATTTTTTTTTTACAAAATTGTATTTATTATTTTTTAAATATTTAATAAAAAAATCTATCTTATTTAAAAAAATCATGAAAAGTTAACCTTTTCTACTCAACTTTTAAAAATGTTTCAGAAAAACCATGAACTTTAAACATACATTAAATTAAAGCTTATGTTACATTATAGTATATAACATAAGTCTAATAATATTTTGTCCCAACACCTTATCTTTTATAAGTAAACGACACTTGAATTTCATCAAAAAATCTGTATAAAATATCACCGTTTAAATTTTCTATAATAATTTTTTTTTTTCAATTTTATATGCCTGTATTTTAGGTTGATAACTAATGTCATATATAGGATGGTGAGGGAGTAAATATCCCCATTACCCCTTTTTATAAAAACAAATAATAAATAAGATTTAAATGTTAGTTATATATAATTATTTACAGGGAGAATTTTTGTTCCTATAGTCCATCCAATAAATATATTACAAGGAAAGGGGCTGCCAAAATATAATATAGGTTCAGATATAAATAACTTATTTAATTTTCATCTGGATAAGTATAATAACAATATGATTTTATCTCTGAAGCTTTACTTTTATTATGTGTTTTTTTTTGTGTGTCTGTTACCACTTTTTCTCAACTCTCACCAAATCAATTTTTTACAAAGATCACAAAATTTTCCTTATTCCCCATTTACGGGGGAAATCTTCAAAAAAATTACAAATTTAAAAATTGCTAATTTTTTCTATTTGTTTACTTAAAACTGCCATAACTTTTTGAAAAATATATGGATCATTACAATTTTCTTTTTATAGATACATGAGGTATTTACCTATAATTTTGTCTATTTTTTATAAATATGATCCTTTACCTGCTCACAGGAGGGGATCAAAATGATAACTGTTTCACAAAAAAATATTTTGAGTGTTCCAGAAATACTGATACTTTTATAAATATCTTAAAATATAGCTAATGTAATATACTTTAATATGAAAAAAAAATTTCAAACTTTATTTTGTCTTCATAGTGAAAATGGCTACAGTATTCAAAAATATGCGTTTCTTATGATTATAAATTTAATCATTGTCAGATATCACTATACTTGTCCCATCTATGCCACGATCCCACTGTGCTACCGTTTTTTATATTTGCCATAAAACAAATATTTGATAATTAATACTCATTAATATCTCATTTATATACATAGACATATATAAAATACAGATGAAGCTAAATTTTTTTGTAAAATCCATTAACCCAGCTGATTAAAAACTTGGGGTTTGATTTATCTACTTGAGTTTGTGAAAAATTGAAGGATTTATGTACAAAATAGCTTCTATATACTCGAGTATAAACTCTATTAAATAATATTTTCAGAGAATTATAGAAAATTTTTCATAAGATATTATATATTAATTACTTTCCATAAAATATAATATACATCGATAAGACCAATCATTACTATAGTGATAACAATGATATTTTATAAGATACCTGTGTCTTAAAGAGTTTATAGTTTTCTAGATTTTTAGACTGTATCATATTATATATATATACATTTTTTTTTATGTCTATTATAACTTATTTTCAGCTCTCACTGGACCATTTTTTGATAAACAATAAAACTTGAATTTTGGTATAAATATTACTAGTCGTGGGGTAAGATGATTTTGTTAATGGGATAAGTTGACATACCTTAGCTTAATTTTAGGTTATGTTTAAAAATATATTATATATGTATTCTCCAATTAAGTGTTAGTCACCGTCTGTCCTCTTAAAAAATGTTGGTTAAATTATATAATTTTTTTATTGGTCTTCCATTAATAAAAAATAAAAAAATGTAGTGTAAAACTATTTAAAAGAGGAAATTGTCCTGATTTCCTACCTTATTGGTATTTTAATAAATAATTATAAACAAATTATTGTATATATAGACATTTTATACACAAATAACAAAAAACCCAACTTTCCTCATTTTGTTTTTATTCAAAAATCTTTCCTAGTATATCTTTAAATTAAATAAAACTTAAAATTCCTATTTCTTTTTATTTGTGATGTTTTTCTTTTGCTATTACAATAAAAAAATTTAATTATTTATTCACGCTCTAGCTAAAACCTTGTGTCATAAAATAATATGTCGTTTTTGTAAAAATGGTATAAGTGAGATTTAAAACATCATATGTGATTGTTTAAATTATTTTCAAAAATTTTGTCGTTATTTGGTTAATATTTTTTAAAATATTTCCATAAAAGTTTGCAAATATTACTACTATATATTTTAAATCCAAGAAGATCATCTTGTATCCTGCTCTTTTTTATTATTAAAAAAAATACACAAAATGATGATACATTTTTATTTATTTCTAAAAGCATCAAATTCATTCATAAAAATAACGCACAGCCTATGGATGCAATAAAATAAGATAAATAACGCCTAATTGTAAATTAATAATAATTATTAATGGGTTATTATTTAGGTAGTTTTAAACAATATGTTTTAATGCAAGAAAATAATAACAACATACTTATATCATTATAAATCAAATTAAATTATTAATACAAATATTATAGTAATAAATTTATAAAGATAATATTAAACATTAAGTATTTACTATTACTAGTATTCATTTATAAGTGAAATTATAATTTAATAACTGTAAGCATTATGATTTACGGTTTAAAAATAAAAATGGTTATTTTCAATAATTTATCAAATAAATGAGTATAGAATAATTATAATTAAAATACTTAGCTAATTTGTTGGTTAATTACTGTACATACGTTAAATTACTCAAATAGTCGAGTTATGAAATGTAGTCTCAAAATTTATTAATACATTATCAATAATATAATATTTTACTGTAGTTCGTTACAAAGTTTTCAACAATTCTTTGGAATGTTATTTTTCCTTTTTATAAACATATTCAAAATTATTAAAAACATTTTCCAAGTAATAAAATATTTTATGGTTTTAAAGTTCTGAAACTGTTTCCTTTGATTTTGTTTTTACAGCACTAAAAAACCAAATTAATTAAATAGTGAACAAATATAATTTTTACATTTAATTTAATGATTTTATCTATTTTTAAATTACTGGGAATCATAAGGTATAAGTTATAAGTTATAATCTAAGCAGGAACAGATTGAAGAACGGTATTAAGATAGAATTCATAGGCGGACATTTAGTAAAATTTTTGGAGGTGGGGTTAGAATAATCTGAAGTAAAGTGACCCGTAGTTGACATAATAATAATAATACAAATAAAATTTCGATATAAGCGTGTACAATTAAAAAAATGGCGGTCTAAACCTCCAAAAATTGGTTTATAGAAGGTAAAAAATGATGAACTTTTATGAATCAAAGTTGTAGACTTTTATTCATATACGGAGATCGTTATTTACCAACTATTGAAATTCTTCAATAGTTAAAAAAACACTCTTTTAAAGCACATTGAACCTAAAAGTTAAAAATAATTTTTAGTTCAATGTGCTTTAAAAGCGTGTTTTTTTAGTTTTTTTTAACTATATTTATTTTTTATTTTTTAGTTTTTTATGACATCACTGTCACAGTCACAGAGTGTTTATTGTCAATTATGACTATCAATAGATATAATTTCTGTATTGGCAGTTAGTGTATTTATAAACACACAGCAATATGTCTTACTATTATTAATAATAAGAGCTCTATACCTGTGAATATCGTCATAAAAAACCAATTAGCTACCTGAATTTGTAATTCCTTATGTATTATACACGTATATTAACTCAAAAAAATTTGAATCTTTAAATGTTTATATTAGTTGTCAGAAATATCGAATAGTAACTATCGAACTATTCAATAGTCATTCAAAAACTATTAAAATAATAAAAATATACGATAATCTATTCTAAAAATATAGTTTAAAAAAACTAAAAAAACACGCTTTTAAAGCACATCGAACTAAAAAGTTAAAAATAATTTTTAAAATAAGTTTAAAAT